AATCGTGTTCATATTAGGGGGGGGGGGGTTTAATAGGTATTTATTATGTTAAACGTCGCAAATTTAATTCTATTTCTATGAGGAGGCCAATGTTCAGCAGTGGACTTAAAAGGTTGTAATGGTAACTATCATTTACATGTAACCTGATTGTGATCATCATCATGAATAGAGTCAATGACAAGTTCACTGCTGAACATAGTCTTTCGCGCAAAGAAAGCCAGCACGGTGATGTGCCAGGTGCATCCTTCAAATACCTGCCTGCGTGTTTTATACAATATTTTTGAACACGAATGAAATTTATTTTATTGTCTTCTAATCCTACGTTAGGGTTATTATTTCTTTTATTCTCGCACGTACAACGTTTTTCATTAAAGTAATATATAAATTTTAACAAGCTTAGTTTTTTTATACAATACTATAAGAGTCATGGTTATTTACACCACATCTTTGGGTCAAAATGTATGTCTATAAGGCAATATATAGAAAAGGTTTATATTCAGCAGTGCACTTCTGATAGGCCGTGATGAATGATGAATCAATCACTTTATACTTATATAACAACCATTTATACAACAAGTATAGTATGCCATTACAATGTTCTGAAATGTTTCATTTGCAAAATTTGAAAACGTGTTCGAGTAACGCTACGAGTAATTAATTAAAGAATACTTTGAAATTGAAATAAAATAGCTACACATAAAAACTGTGCAAGCGGAAATATTGCAATCTTGGTAAATTAATAAGAAAATTAAAAAAAAAAACGAAAACGATGTCTGATAATGATTGCAAACATATTTGTAACACTATTTAAACTAGGTGATGGGATTCCTTACCTGCCTTAGAGTTCATGTGGGTATGTTTGTTTTGTACAAAAAATTCAAGCATTATTTATAGATCATTGTCATCAATGGTACTTATCACTTAGTAACATTACTTAGTAGCATCTTCTTCGGTTTAAAGATCTTTAATTCTCAATAAGACAATCGTCACCTCCCTCTCTATTGAAATTAGCATGTTTTTTAATTTCAATAGCATCACGTGTCATCCTTGGTAGGAATCGATGTTCTTTCGCGAGGATCCGTGCTATATCAAAGCTGTGGAATTACATCCTCGAAAGAATCATCGATTCCTACTAAGGATGTTAACGTGATGCTATTGAAATTAAAAAACACGCTAATTTCAATAGAGAGGGAGGCTGGGTACTACTACCTGCCTGGGACCCTGTAATTAATAAAATTAAAACTAAACCCAAGCATACCACTGCAAGACTTCAAGACAGAGTAAGTTCATTCTGCATAGATCGGACCATAAACAATAATTAAAAAGCTGAAGATACTCCGGGTTAACATTGACACCGGGACGTCAGTCACCTCAGTCCCCCGTGACCATGGATGATGGAAAACATCCGAAACGTCGGAATTAAAAATAATTTCAAATTAAACGCGATGAAATCCGTAAAAGTAGTTTTAATCAACGTGTAGTGTTCGCGTAAATATAAGAAATCATTAACTAACATGTAGTTAAAATTCGATAAGAATTGTTATACAAGTACCTAACCATTAATATTTGCGAACCACTAAGGTAGAATATGTAGAACGAATTGTAATAATTAAACACCGAGTTTAATAAAATAATAACATCCTCCAGATCAGCCAACGGCACAGGGCAGTATTATAGTGACCAAGTGTATGCGCAAACACAGGTGCACTCCCTATTCCATGGTCCGATGGGACAGTAAACTGACACAACCGGAGAGAGATCAGGCGCAGGACTAACGGCTTTACGTGCTTTCCGAGGCACGAAGGTAAGACACCTCCGGTCGGCTACTAAGAACTTCTTAACGGAACTCAATAAACTGTTTTTTTTGCCCGACCCGGGATTCAAACCCAGGACCTCATGATCAGCAGTCACACTACTAAAACTACTAGACCAATGAGGCACTAGACCAATAAAACACCAAGTCACAGTTGCAACAGTGGTAGAGCCACGCCGCAGCCTTTGCTGTTGCACGCATGGGCCGTCTCAAACCGGGGTGGTACCACGACCTCACAGAAGACCAGCGTGAAGTTCAGGCAGCGTGAATTAGGCTTTCGCGGGTATTTTGTGAAACACACGTATATTACTTTGCTCCGTCATCATTTAATATTTTCGATGTAATATCTAATATCTAATTTTTTTAATTTATATCATTTAAAAGCAGAGAAAAATTACATTAAAATAGTCTATTAGTGATAGTGAATTAATTTGTGATTCGAAAAAAGTAAGCATATACTTTTTTACTTAATTATTGCATACTTCTGCGTCAATAACAGTGCAGTGGGTCGTTCGCTTCCCAATAAGCGCTTTTATCGCTTGAGCTTACTGAACGGTTTAGGATTTATTTTAAGCTATTGCATAGCTTCTATCGCGGGCCTTGAGCATGGGGACCGAATCCAGAAATTTATTCCGCCGTAACGAAAAAACCTCACGCTCCCCACTCCGACGGGCACGGAGGTGTGGCTTGAAGGCCGTGCATTGTCTAACGTCGTTTCTTTTTTCGGCAGTCTTCGACACGGTGTTTGTGTATAAAGTGTTTTGAATATGAATGAACAAAGTGGATTTATTATTAATGAAGAAAGTCACAAAATAATAGTGAAATAATAGATGATGAGTGAGTACTCTGTATACATACATTTTATTATTATCACAAATGCAGTACTAATTTTGAATTGAAAATATAATACTGCTATAAAGATAACCAAAATTTTTGATATTAAAATGAGCGATATTAAAAGTAGCCCTCTTTATATACACACAAACACACACACGCGTATAGTTTAAATTCTCAATATATATATATATATATATATATATATATATATATATATATATATATATATATATATATATATATATATATATATTAGAGATGGGCCAAAATTCAAAGTTTCAAATTAATATTTAAAAGATTCTCTTTTATTCAAAGTAATATTTAAAAGAGCTGATACTGAACTGTGATTCTTTCTAAAACTAGATTGAATCACACAGGTAGTACTTGGTTACGTTCTAGATATGGTGAAATTTGATAAAGAACGCATCTTTCAACTATTTTAGATAGTGCAGGAAGAATGCTTATTGGTCTTATATCAGAAAGATTATCCACCATTGATTTTTTAGGAATGGGAGTGACGATGGCACATTTCCAAGATTCTGGAAATATTCCTTAGAATATAGATTTATTGACTATCGCTACTATTGTTGACAAAGAATATGGAAGCGTAAGTTTTAACATCAACATGGAGATGCCATCAGTTCCGGTCGCATTACTAGCTGTAAAAGCAATTATACTTTTCACTAACGTTTCATTTACGGCTACAAATTGAAATTCGATATCAGAGTGTTAAAGTGATTCGATTACGATTCGATCTTTTGTCGGGAGGTGCACATGATATGATGTTTATAAAGTGATTATTAAGTGAATCAGGGTCAAGAAGATGGTCCGGTATGGAACGGTTTTTTACGGCTGGTGAAATTCGTTTTATGTGACGCCACGTCTGAGAAGGATTTGATCTATTATTATTGACAAACCTAGTAAAATATGCCTGCTTTTCTAGAGTAACTGTTCGGTTATATTAGTTGCGCAGATCGCGTTAAAATTGCATACTACTTTCTGATTTTATAGTTTTGGCCCGGTGGCAAGCCTTGTCACGAATTGACTTCATTTTTCTAAGAGTATCAGTCATCTGTGGGGCAGGGGGTAGTTTAAAAGTGCTTTTACGAACAGGGTCGAATGAGTCCATCAAGTGAATGACGCGATTGTTAAAGGTATTTACCATATTATCGATACTATCTTGTACTAGTACCAGCTCCCATGGCGTGTATTTAGCAGCATTGTTTATAGCAATTGTGTTCTCAGCTAGAGGTCTGTATGAAATTATACGACATTTAGATTTTTGAATCGCGAGCGGAAATTTCGCTGAAATCAGTCCATGATTGCTAAGATCATCATTATGTGTCACCTCCACAAAAATGGGCTTAAGATGTGTCCTAGTAAAGATAACATCAATCAGGGTACTCGTAGTAGAAGTGATTCGTGTAGGCTGGTTCACGATTTGATGGAGGTTAAATGTATCAGTAAGGGTCTTGAGACAATTAGGCGTATATGGAAGGCCGTCGTTGTTTAGACAATCAATGTTCAGGTCACCAACAAGAAATAATTGTTCATATTGCGCTATAAAAAACGAAAGAGACTCGTACCAACAGTCTATAGCTGAACCAACACTCACTGATTCAGGACGATACGCCGAACCAAATACAGCAGTCTCACTACCTATTTTAACATTAAACCATATCTGTTCAAGTTCCCCAGGGGGGTTATCTAAGCGCTTTGCACGTAAGTTAGATTTTATGTAAGCACCAACACCACCAACACGACTAATACGAGGGTTGTGCAGCAGTCTGTAGCCGGAAATTGAATACAAGTCAATATTGGAACGATAATGAAGCCAAGTCTCGCTAAGACATAGTATATCAAGATCCTTAATTTGGATACTTTGATTAAGTTTCTCAAAACCGGTATTTAGCGAACGTACATTCAAAATACCTAATGGAAAATACTTTCTTTGTTTTCCTTTACCCATAAAATAACATAAGCTTTTATCAAAGTAAACTTAAACCAAGTGAACACAAAAATAAAATAAACAAATAAGTGGAAGATATGACTAAACTAGGTTAACTAAGCAATCATTATTTTTGATGAGCACGGGAGTAGCACCTTCAACTTTGCGAGCGTACACATTTCCTCTCTTGACCCAAATAAACTTAAAATATTTCTCCTTGCTTACTCTTCAAGCCTCTCTGAATAATGCTTTACAATCAGGTGAAATATGTTCAGACATATGTTTTATTAGTAGCACCATCAATATTTAGGTGTTTCGAGTTTAGTTTGCAACTTTGAGTTTTATTAAACTTATTAACGGCTTCAAGGATACGATCACGAATACGCGGCGACGTCAGTGTCACTAATACGGAACAGCTCGAATTCGAACAGCAGCTTGATCCATCTTAGCCACACGGCGACAGGCACGAATGTCGCTGTCCGCAATCGGCGAGTTAATTGTGTTGCAAATGGTGTGAAATAATCCAAACAGATCCTCGCTGGCTTTTTCCTGTATGCCGTTAATTTCCAAGTTATTGTCTCTAGAGATTTTTTCAATGGTAGACAGTCGACCATTGAGGGTATAAACTTCTTTTTTAAGTTTTAAAGTCTGAGTCTGTAAATCTTTAATTTCTTTGTATTTTTGTTCTACCTTTACTTTCAAATCCGCCTGTTCAGTAGCTAAAAAGTCAGTAGCTTGCGTCAGCTCGTTTTTGAAGTCATTGAGGGCTAAATTAATCTCCTGAGATATTATTGCTTTGATATCCTCCAGAATAGTTAATCGTAATTTGCGAAAAATTGGTGATGTGTCCGATAATTTATTATCAAGTAAGTCGCCGATTTTTTCTAAAGTTGCTGGTAGTGGGCTGACCTCCCGCCTGTTAGACTTGGCGCGCACTTTTACATTTAAATTACTTGCCAATTCTTCTGTCTCCTTCTCCATACAGCCTTCTGAGTACATTGTGTTGCCGCGAATGGGAGTGTTCTGGTTATCACTCTTAGGTTGACGATTTTTACATGCATGACATATCCACACAGCTTTACGTTCTTTGTCCAACGAAATGAAAGTTTTTTGACTAATCGTGGCACAGTCCAAATCATATTTTAGTTTATATGAACAACAACATATAAACTGTCGATTAGTTATTTTATTCTGACAACCAGCACATTTCCCAGTAGAAGACATCTCGGTTCGTTTAAAATAATTAAAAGACGTGTGGCACTCGGGGATTGCCGCGGTAAAGCTATTGCATAGCGATTTCTTATATTTACGCGAACACTATACATGATTAAAACTACGTTTACGGATTTTATCGCGTTTATTTTTACTTTTTATTTACTTTTATTTTTTAATTCCCGACGTTTCGGGCGCTTTCCAGTCCCCCGTGACCATGGGTGCTGGAAAGCGCGCGAAACGTCGGGAATTAAAAATAAAAGTAAATAAAAAGTAAAAATAAACGCGATAAAATCCGTAAAAGTAGTTTTAATCATCTATTGCATAGCATTTTGTATCAACTTATGAAATTATAATTATTAATATAAGGACTACGTAAATATTCAGTACAGCAAGATTGGAAGAAAAATGACGTCTAAATATTTTTTCGTATTTAGTAAACGAATAACTAGTTGGTAAATTAATCATGATATATATCTTTTTTTTTCGCCAGAGACTAAAATGATACTGCTTTTTTTCGTAACTGCAGATTCTGTGGATTTATTTCATTATTTTGAACAATATACGAAATTTAAGTGACTAAAATTAAATCTAATCTGAACCAGAATCATAAAAACTGTATTATTCGTGCTAAACGAATCTAATAAATATCTGTTATTTTTGTCTCCTGCGAAAAAAACAGACTATAGGAGTCTATCGAATACCTACATAAACAAAATATCACCTATAAATAAAATATTACAAAGCGGAATAACTAATAAGAGTGGCAACGTCGCACTATACAAAGAATTGCGTAGGTGGCACAAGTCGCGGGCTCGAACTCATTGGTGGGTGCGGCCAAAAAGCACGTTGTCTCACCTGGCATCGTGCCACTCGTACTAAATTATTAGGCGCTGCGTTATCGCTTTATACTATACCTCTATGGCTCTATAGATACCTAATATAGATTGCTTATTTTATTATGTTTAGTTTTCCCCGGGTGGTCATGCAGCGATCACTCAAGAGTTCACGACGCCGAAGTATGAACTGGAACTTATAATTTATATATATATATATATATATATATATATTAGATATATATATATATATATATATATTAGAGATGGGCCAAAATTCGGTACAAGAAAAATAATACCTACTTGCACTTATTTTAACAGAAATATAAGGTGCTTCTAAACTACAATATGCCATGGCTGCAGCTGGTGGTTCTACTCATGATACTGTACCACTTTCCCCAAGGAACCCATAGTCAACTCTCAAAAAAAAAATTGCACTTTGTATGGAAATTGGTCAGCTGATTGGCCAAGTCTCCATACAAACAACCTTGGCATATATTTTAGAAGCACCTTATATAACAACATTAGATAATGTAAAATAAAAGATATTATTTTTACTCATTCATGGTCAATTATTTATTTATTTATTTCGGAACATTGTAAATGTAAACCTTATATTAAATCGGTTACTATCTTATCATTAATCTTAATCTTAGTTCTTAACCTTAATCTTAGTTAATTAGTTATGAATCTTAGAAATCCCTGCCTAATTAATAATTAGCCATATTACAAAAATGAAATAAACTTTGTATTCTCCAAGTAAACATCTGGATAGGAGTCCGTAAATTAAATAAAAAAAATAATGTTTTTGATTCAACATTCATTAACCTCAAGTATTTTTTATTATAATTAAAGGGTATTTGTTTTCAACAATCATATTAAACCAACTTTTCTTGTCTATCTAGTCATATTTAAAATTTACCAGAGTCAGGTTATGGTGCAAAAACACCAAAGATCTGCCTTATCTGGCAGAAGTTTGTTACGTTTTTTTCGTAGGTATATGTTTCCCGCGGTGTGCGGGCGGGGTATTTGAAGTAAATGCGTAAACAAGTCACGACGCGTCGCTCTCGAGAAAGCGTGCGAAAATGAACCGAAGTTCGGCCGAAGTTCGGATTCGGTTCAAATCACATTCGGCCCATCTCTAATATATATATCACAATAGGTAGGCAGAACTAATTACAATTATTATATAACTATTATAAATGCGAAAGTTTGGATGGATAGATGTATGTTACTCAATCACGCCAGAACAGCTGAAGGGATCTGGATGATATTTAACTCAGAGATAGGTTATACCTAGTCTGGAATAACACATTTGATACCGTTTATTCAGGTATTTCGTTCCTGTGGGATAATTTTCGAGTTCACGCGATTGAAGCCGTTGGCAACAGCTAGTACGGAAATAAACTGCGATGACTGTTCCAGTTCATACTTCGGCGTCGTGAACTCTTGAGTGATCGCTGCATGACCACCCGGGGAAAACTAAACATAATAAAATAAGCAATCTATATTAGGTATCTATAGAGCCATAGAGGTATAGTATAAAGCGATAACGCAGCGCCTAATAATTTAGTACGAGTGGCACGATGCCAGGTGAGACAACGTGCTTTTTGGCCGCACCCACCAATGAGTTCGAGCCCGCGACTTGTGCCACCTACGCAATTCTTTGTATAGTGCGACGTTGCCACTCTTATTAGTTATTCCGCTTTGTAATATTTTATTTATAGGTGATATTTTGTTTATGTAGGTATTCGATAGACTCCTATAGTCTGTTTTTTTCGCAGGAGACAAAAATAACAGATATTTATTAGATTCGTTTAGCACGAATAATACAGTTTTTATGATTCTGGTTCAGATTAGATTTAATTTTAGTCACTTAAATTTCGTATATTGTTCAAAATAATGAAATAAATCCACAGAATCTGCAGTTACGAAAAAAAGCAGTATCATTTTAGTCTCTGGCGAAAAAAAAGATATATATCATGATTAATTTACCAACTAGTTATTCGTTTACTAAATACGAAAAAATATTTAGACGTCATTTTTCTTCCAATCTTGCTGTACTGAATATTTACGTAGTCCTTATATTAATAATTATAATTGCATAAGTTGATACAAAATGCTATGCAATAGATGATTAAAACTACTTTTACGGATTTTATCGCGTTTATTTTTACTTTTTATTTACTTTTATTTTTAATTCCCGACGTTTCGCGCGCTTTCCAGCACCCATGGTCACGGGGGACTGGAAAGCGCCCGAAACGTCGGGAATTAAAAAAATAAAAGTAAATAAAAAAGTAAAAATAAACGCGATAAAATCCGTAAACGTAGTTTTAATCATGTATAGTGTTCGCGTAAATATAAGAAATCGCTATGCAATAGCTTTACCGCGGCAATCCCCGAGTGCCACACGTCTTTTAATTATTTTAAACGAACCGAGATGTCTTCTACTGGGAAATGTGCTGGTTGTCAGAATAAAATAACTAATCGATAGTTTATATGTTGTTGTTCATGTAAAATAAAATATGATTTGGACTGTGCCACGATTAGTCAAAAAACTTTCATTTCGTTGGACAAAGAACGTAAAGCTGTGTGGATATGTCATGCATGTAAAAATCGTCAACCTAAGAGTGATAACCAGAACACTCCCATTCGCGGCAACACAATGTACTCAGAAGGCTGTATGGAGAAGGAGACAGAAGAATTGGCAAGTAATTTAAATGTAAAAGTGCGCGCCAAGTCTAACAGGCGGGAGGTCAGCCCACTACCAGCAACTTTAGAAAAAAATCGGCGACTTACTTGATAATAAATTATCGGACACATCACCAATTTTTCGCAAATTACGATTAACTATTCTGGAGGATATCAAAGCAATAATATCTCAGGAGATTAATTTAGCCCTCAATGACTTCAAAAACGAGCTGACGCAAGCTACTGACTTTTTAGCTACTGAACAGGCGGATTTGAAAGTAAAGGTAGAACAAAAATACAAAGAAATTAAAGATTTACAGACTCAGACTTTAAAACTTAAAAAAGAAGTTTATACCCTCAATGGTCGACTGTCTACCATTGAAAAAATCTCTAGAGACAATAACTTGGAAATTAACGGTATACAGGAAAAAGCCAGCGAGGATCTGTTTGGATTATTTCACACCATTTGCAACACAATTAACTCGCCGATTGCGGACAGCGACATTCGTGCCTGTCGCCGTGTGGCTAAGATGGATCAAGCTGCTGTTCGAATTAGAGCTGTTCCGTATTAGTGACACTGACGTCGCCGCGTATTCGTGATCGTATCCTTGAAGCCGTTAATAAGTTTAATAAAACTCAAAGTTGCAAACTAAACTCGAAACACCTAAATATTGATGGTGCTACTAATAAAACATATGTCTGAACATATTTCACCTGATTGTAAAGCATTATTCAGAGAGGCTTGAAGAGTAAGCAAGGAGAAATATTTTAAGTTTATTTGGGTCAAGAGAGGAAATGTGTACGCTCGCAAAGTTGAAGGTGCTACTCCCGTGCTCATCAAAAATAATGATTGCTTAGTTAACCTAGTTTAGTCATATCTTCCACTTATTTGTTTATTTTATTTTTGTGTTCACTTGGTTTAAGTTTACTTTGATAAAAGCTTATGTTATTTTATGGGTAAAGGAAAACAAAGAAAGTATTTTCCATTAGGTATTTTGAATGTACGTTCGCTAAATACCGGTTTTGAGAAACTTAATCAAAGTATCCAAATTAAGGATCTTGATATACTATGTCTTAGCGAGACTTGGCTTCATTATCGTTCCAATATTGACTTGTATTCAATTTCCGGCTACAGACTGCTGCACAACCCTCGTATTGGTCGTGGTGGTGGTGTTTGTGCTTACATAAAATCTAATTTACGTGCAAAGCGCTTAGATAACCCCCCCTGGGGAACTTGAACAGATATGGTTTAATGTTAAAATAGGTAGTGAGACTGCTGTATTTGGTTCGGCGTATCGTCCTGAATCAGTGAGTGTTGGTTCAGCTATAGACTGTTGGCACGAGTCTCTTTCGTTTTTTATAGCGCAATATGATCAATTATTTCTTGTTGGTGACCTGAACATTGATTGTCTAAACAACGACGGCCTTCCATATACGCCTAATTGTCTCAAGACCCTTACTGATACATTTAACCTCCATCAAATCGTGAACCAGCCTACACGGATCACTTCTACTACGAGTACCCTGATTGATGTTATCTTTACTAGGACACATCTTAAGCCCATTTTTGTGGAGGTGACACATAATGATGATCTTAGCAATCATGGACTGATTTCAGCGAAATTTCCGCTCGCGATTCAAAAAATCTAAATGTCGTATAATTTCATACAGACCTCTAGCTGAGAACACAATTGCTATAAACAATGCTGCTAAATACACGCCATGGGAGCTGGTACTAGTACAAGATAGTATCGATAATATGGTAAATACCTTTAACAATCGCGTCATTCACTTGATGGACTCATTCGACCCTGTTCGTAAAAGCACTTTTAAACTACCCCCTGCCCCACAGATGACTGATACTCTTAGAAAAATGAAGTCAATTCGTGACAAGGCTTGCCACCGGGCCAAAACTATAAAATCAGAAAGTAGTATGCAATTTTAACGCGATCTGCGCAACTAATATAACCGAACAGTTACTCTAGAAAAGCAGGCATATTTTACTAGGTTTGTCAATAATAATAGATCAAATCCTTCTCAGACGTGGCGTCACATAAAACGAATTTCACCAGCCGTAAAAAACCGTTCCATACCGGACCATCTTCTTGACCCTGATTCACTTAATAATCACTTTATAAACATCATATCATGTGCACCTCCCGACAAAAGATCGAATCGTAATCGAATCACTTTAACACTCTGATATCGAATTTCAATTTGTAGCCGTAAATGAAACGTTAGTGAAAAGTATAATTGCTTTTACAGCTAGTAATGCGACCGGAACTGATGGCATCTCCATGTTGATGTTAAAACTTACGCTTCCATATTCTTTGTCAACAATAGTGGCGATAGTCAATAAATCTATATTCTAAGGAATATTTCCAGAATCTTGGAAATGTGCCATCGTCACTCCCATTCCTAAAAAATCAATGGTGGATAATCTTTCTGATATAAGACCAATAAGCATTCTTCCTGCACTATCTAAAATAGTTAAAAGATGCGTTCTTTATCAAATTTCACCATATCTAGAACGTAACCAAGTACTACCTGTGTGATTCAATCTAGTTTTAGAAAGAATCACAGTTCAGTATCAGCTCTTTTAAATATTACTGATATTCTTGCTACGTCCAATGAGGGTAAGGGAACAATTATGGTTCGGCTAGACTTCTCTGTGGATATATCTGTTCTATTGACAAAATTAAAATACTATGGTTTCACAGAATCGGCCTGCACCTGGTTTCAATCTTATTTCCATAATCGCTGCCAAAAAGTGCAGTGTTTGAATAGCAAAGGAGTTCTAAATGTCTCCAACACGCTCCCCCCTTAATAAAGGTGTTATCCAGGGTTCAATACTTACCCACATTATTCGCAATTTACACGGCCAACGTTACTAAAGCTATAACTCACTCGAAAATTCACTTATATGCAGATGACAGCCAAGTATATGTTCACACAACGCCAATTGATGAGGAGGTTGCTGTTGCTATTTCCAAGTTAAACAAAGATCTTGATTCTATTGCGGAGTGGTCTTTGAAACATGGCCTGGTACTTAATCCCTTAAAGAGTGTCACCATTACCCTTTGAACAAAGCACCAGGTAAAAACGATTAATGAACGGAAGTCTCCTGTTAAGATGTTTGACACTGTCATACCTTACGAGAGTTGTGTTCGCAATTTAGGTCTCCCCATGGATGAGAATTTAAAATTTGAGCAACATGTTCAGACTAAAATCGGTAAATGCTATGGTTCGTTAAAAACTTTGTATAAAATTCGCTCATTTCTAAAACGTGACATAAGACTGCTGCTTTGTAACAGTTTAGTACTATGCCACCTTCATTATTGTGATATTGTTTATGGTCCATGCTTATTAAAAAAACTGTGAAGAATGTGCAGAGAGTGCAGAACGCATGTATGTGTTTTTGTTTTAATATACCGAAAAGGGAGAGGATTATACCTTATTTAGTCAGCAATGGCATTTTAAATATGTGCAATACTACTAAATTAAAATATGCGTGCTTTCTGCACACTCTGCATCACGCAAAGTCTCCAAGATATCTGTATGATAAGATAGCCGTTGAAAAAAAAAAGTTTGCTTTCAGTCAGAGAAAATAGTCATCGGCTTCCACTACCCAGGATTAGCCTCGCTGGAGCCAGGGGGTGTTTTAAATTTGCCGCTGCTAAAATTTGGAACGATTTGCCACCACCAGTCCGATCTACCCTATTTCCGTCTACCTTCCGACAAAGATGCCGCAAGTGGCTTATTCAAAAACAGTCCCTGGCTCTATGTGGCTTTGATACCCCCTCAAATTATACAACTTTTTTTTTTGTATTTAGAAAGTATAATTTATTAATTATTTTATTTTTATTCTTACTTATTTATTGTAGATACGTGTATTTCATCAATTGCCTAAGACCCTGTATGAATTATGCGCAAAGGCTGTGGCAGAATAGCAGGAGTAATAGGTTTCCCGTTACAACTGAGTCACAGACCGTTTTGTCACAACTTAAAAGTTATTATTATATTTATATTATAGTTAGTAAGCTCTCTATTTAAATTTTAACATTGTATTTTTGTGTGGCAAATAAATACTTTTTATTTATTTATTTATTTATTTACTTTGCTTCTGCGTTTCGTCTGGTGAGTGCAGGTGGCCGGAGGCCCTATCCTCCCCCCTCCCCATTAACATGATAGCGGAATTAAATGAAAGATTACTGCAGGAGGGTACCAGCACCCCAGGAGAATCTCTCGCTGGGCATCCACGACCAAGCTACTCAACTCCTGAGCGTGGGTACTCAGGAAGCCTCGCATATTATGGGGGGAGGCAAAATTTGCGTGTATGTCAGAGAGGGCATCTGTTTCCGACGTTTCGGTAGCCTTGAAGGTACCTGTCCATCTTATGACTGCGCGTAGACAGCGACGACCATTCTCGCGTCTACGGGTGCCTCTATAGATCCCATAGCTGTAATTCCGAAACAGACCGACTCATCGACCACATCCAGATGGCTACAGACTCTGTGCTACAGATACCATCCGCAGAGGTTGTGATACTTGGAGATTTTAATGCCCACCGCGCTGAATGGCTTTGTTCTCGTTTAACCGATCATACGGGTAGATCTGTTTATGACTTTGCTTTGGCATAATATGGTCTGAAACTACTTGTTACCTCGCCGATGTGGAAGATCATCTACCTTCCCTGTTGAACCTTCTGGTGACCTCTCATCCGGACGGATATCAGGTCTCCGTCGATGCCCCTCTTGCTCCTCAGACCATTGTCTGATCTAGAGTACGGTGCCACTCACGCGGTTGCATACGATTGCCGCCGAGTTTGGCATTATAAGTCAGTAGACTGGTATGGGATGCGATCTTTTTTTCATCCTAACTTTGGGGGCGCATTTGCTTCTCGCCGGATTATCCCAGCGTTGTTGCTGATTCTGTGTGGTGCTACAGGGGATGGAACTTTTTATTCCATCATCTGTGGTTCCTATCGGAGGTAGAACCAAGGCTTGGTTTGGTTGCTCCTGCAAAATTGCACTATGTCATAAGCTGGAGTGCTACCATACCTGGGCTCGCGCATCTACATCTTGGGATGCAAACACCAGCACCCTTAAAAAGAAGTACAATTCTGCCTACAGGTCCTTCAAAAGTGTCATTGTCAATGCAAAGTCAGAGCACATCGGCAGAATTACTGAGAAACTAGTTCGTCTTCCTACGGAAACACGTGCATTCTGGTCCCTCGCCAAGGCTGTTCAAGGGTACTTCTGCCAGCCACCTCTCCCATTTCTGCACAGGGAGGACGACTCACTGGCCCATGCCGCAAAGGACAAAGCCGATCTGCTGGGCTCCCTCTTTGCGTCCAACTCGACCCGACCATCCCACGGAGTGGGTGCTCCATGCAGGATGTCCTGTTTACCCAACACTCAGTGCGCAGAGTGCTCCTCTCCATGGACGTCAACAAGTCGAGTGCGGCGGATGGCGTCCCTCCTATTGTGCTGAAGACGTGTGCTCCAGAGATGGCACCGGTTTTAACGCGTCTTTTACGGTACTCCTACTTCTTCCGCGTAGTCCTGAAATC